AATGAACAGTCTGCATGTAAATAACAATAATTAGACAAACATTTATGACAATGTAAACAATAAATGCCCAGAAAGAAACAAACATCAGCATTTAATATACAGAAAAGTACACAGATGGATAACAGTGAGGTTGTGGTGGTTTATAATCATTGTGGCAACAAATTATATGGGAGGAGTGTGGTTCAGGGTTTCTTTGACAGGACAGTAAATGCCAACTTTAAAATAGTACAGTATCTAACAAAAGAAGAGTATGATGCATTAGTGAAAACTATATTATTTGTTTATATTAAAATCAGATTATGGCTAAAATTAAATAATTAAACTTTCCCTCTTTAGAAAAAACATGGGTGTAATGAATCACGCTCACGCTCTGTTTTAATCCAAGTCATGTCATGTTTTTCCACCATCAGTCATTTAACCTGCTCATTGTTTCACCCTTCCCATCACAGAACACCTCATCAGTCTCATGCCATTCACCTGTTCTCTGTATTTAAGCTCTCCTCCACCACTGCTCCAGCGCCAGGCTTATGAATGGTCCAGTGATGAGAACGATGAAATGAAAGGGTTTTCTCTCCACAAACTGGGACATGTTCTTTAAGGATGCTGATATAGACTTTGTCACTGAATCAATAACTGCTTATATCTTATTTTGCACAGATTGTTTTATGCCTGTGAAGCCTTTTAAGCAATATCCAAAAAAAACAAACCTTATCTTACAAAGGGTATTAAAGAATATATCAAGAGAAAGAGACGTGCTTCTAAATTAGGTTAGATTGAAGGAGTTAGAGTGGTCCAAAGAGACCTTAATCATCAAATGAGTCTAGGTCAGTTGTGCTAAAAGAACTAGGCAAAAAGAGATTTTTTTATATCTAACTCTAGGAAATTGTGGGACTCTATCAAAACGATGAAAAATATGGAGGCCAAAAAGCTTTGTTTGCTACTAACAAAACTGTAAATGTGTTACGATATGTGAAGGAATGAACCCAGGTCTAGACAGAGGAGAGGAGTTTACAAAATAAAGATGTTTCTTAACAAAAATAAATCAAAAGGCTGACGTGGCAGCAAACTTACAACTCTGAAGACAACAAGGAGACGACAAGGGGTCCAAACAATGAAACAGAGACTAATGAGCATATGTGAACAGTGTTTATACAAACAGAGGAAGAGAGGAGATGAACAACAACTGAGGAGAAGTAGTTAAGAGCAGACAGGTGAGAGTGATAATTGACAGAGAAACTGCAGGAAACAGACTGAGGACAGATAAGTAATGACACAAGGAGGACACAAGAGGGAGACAAAAGACAAGACACAGATCCCTATAAAAATCAAATGAATTGAACAATTTTTACATGTGTGTTATGGACAAATTATCTATCTGTTTCACCTTGAGGCAGTCCAGTATTCATATATCTCATGATCAATATTAATCTGTGTTGGCCCAGACAACAGGACTCCAACGGATTGGCCTCTCTTGTTTGATAAGAAACCCTTTGAGCTGAGAGCCCTGTGATAGGCTGGACAATACATTTGTCGATCTGTGATTGGTTGTAAACTGTCACATGGTGTTAACATAATGTTATATTACTGGCTGTGTCCGCTGACGTGTCAGCCACAAGCCGACAGAGTTTCCTGATTGATTTCTGACTGTTTGTCACTCAGAATTAAATTATTATTGACCACCATTCATGCAGACTTTCTATGCATTATTCAATGTGTTTCTGCATTCTTGGTAAATTATGCAATGACAGAAATTGTCATTGTCAAAGGACAGCTACGGGGACCGGAGGACTGCCCGAAGCAGTCGACTGTTTTTCTCAGAGATCCACTGGAAGATGGAGGCTGACAAGGCTGACCTGTTTTTGTCTGCTGATTGTGTCCGGGTTTTGTGATCTGTCATTACCTCGGCCGCTGTGGGTAGCCTTTTGGGACTGGAGCTGAAAAAAGAACCTGTCTGTTGGCAGAAGAACTGGGCTTTAATCAAACCTTTTTGTCCCTCGGATGAAGGACACCAGGTTAGAAACCCTCAGTGTTCTAAGCTTCTCGGGATCCACAAAGGGGTCTCCAAGAATTCTTTCCCTTAGACTACTCAGAGCCAAGCATTGGCCTAAGTAGTGCAAAGAGGTCTCTGATTCAATGCCGCAGGCATCACACAGACCATTGTCTTGGAGTCCCATCACCATTTTGTGGCAGTTGAGCAGATTGTGCCCAGTTAGGACTCCAACCAGTGTACTTAAAGTATTCCTTGTCAAGGCAAGAACCGATTTTCTAAATCCATGATTTCGGCCGTTTATCAGTTCCCGTGCCTGTCTACAGTCCGTCAGCTCCCTCCATCGGATTGAGTGTTGACGTCTGATCCATGCCTGTAGGGCAGTCCTGCAGATTGTTGTTGAAATGTCCATAGCAGGCTCTGGTCCTTGGCATGACTGCCAGCTCTTGCAAGGTAGTCAGCTCTCTCGTTACCATAAATGCCAGTATGTCCTGGTACCCATTTAACAGTAACACTATTATCTCTCCCCAGTTGGTTGACTGCTTCGGCACACTCCCAAGTCAGTAGTGACGTGAACTGCGGCCCTTGGAGAGCTTTAATAGCAGCTTGGCTATCTGTCAGGATGAATATTTCCTTTTGCATACACTGAAGTTCTTTGAGAAATGCCGCACATTGATGGATTGCATATGTCTCAGCTTGAGATACCTTCACAAAACCGCCTGGTAGGTAACTATACTCTCTCTTACTATGGTTGTGCAGAATCAGCACCCCTGCACTTGCTGGCCCCTTTATAAGGGATCCGTCTGTAAAGCAGTAGAAATGATTTGGAGACAGGTCCACCATAGAGAAATTACTCCAGGCTGACCTATCTTCAATCTCTGTCTTAAAACTTGGTTCAAAATTATGTTTTTTGACCATTCTGTCTCCAGGGCCAGCAGTTACTGGAACAGCAGTAACTGCCCAGTCCCAGATTCTGGTATGCTGTGAGTCAGGTAGGCTTTTCCACCTGCCAGACTGATGTAACCTTAGTGCGTATTGTCCACGTGCCAGGCTGCGTTCTATTCTCAAAACAACATCATGTAAGGCTGTTTCTGTAGAAAGACCTGCCTGGTATGCATGTTGTTTAGGACTTAAATGTGATAGCATTAAACTGCCATCTCTTAAGAGTCTATCTATCAACCTCTCCATTCCCTTCAGCAAGAAAGATGTTAAGCTGATGGGGTGGAAAGATTTTGCTTTTCTATATGTTGCTTTGCCAGGTTTGGGCAGAAAGACAACTTTTGCCGTCCTCCACCCAACTGGTACATAACTGTTTGCTAAACAAGCAACATATATTCTAGTGATTGTGTCCAGAAGTACATCCTGTCCTCTTTGAAGAAGCGCTGGGAAAATACCATCTGGTCCACAAGCTTTAAATGGATCAAACATATTGATTGCCCATTTTACTTTGACTTTTGTGATGATACTTGCAGCTCTATTCCAGTCGTCCTCTGTTG